CCCAGTTTCCATTAGAAATTCAGGTCCTCTCTACTCTGGAGTCCCAGCAAAATGAGTGAAGTAAAAGTAGAGCAATTGAAGGAAGTAGGAATTTATAGTTAAATTAATTTTAACAGTATTTTAAAATAGTCTGACTTCAGTAATAAGTTAACATTTTGGATTAAGTTGGTCTTTGGTAAAATTAATTATCCCTCCTCCTTCATTTAGCATGTTAAACTTTAATCATATAAACGTTTTCCAATGGGTGGACCCTTATTCTTATGGAGTTGTGAACAGGGATAAACCTACATCATAGATCATAGACCTCTCAACTGAGAGGTCCTATATCAAAACCATGGAAAACTAGATTTGGTGTTTCAGATGCATTTTCACTAAAAAAGATCTAGATTAGGGAAGCAAAAAAGAACAAGATCAGGGAAGCAAAAAAGAACAAAGTCAGTTGAAACAAATACATACAAACCTTTTGTTGTCCCTTTCAATCGATGGTACTCCTTTAAACCAAATGATATTATTCAGATTGAATTGAAAATAGAACCCTGCATGGACACAAAATTGGTATCTGCATCTGCAAATTTGTATGTTTATAGATATCCACAAAAATAGCCATGGCTATCCACATCCATTTCCATGGATGCCTGCAGATATAAAGCGGATATCAAGAGATTTGTAGATTAACTAGAGACAATCGTCATGATGTCTTTGTAAACACTTTGCAATGGTGTTTTTATTCCTTTATTTTAACTTTTATATACACCTGATATTATATACACCTGACATAATTTAAAAACACCGTGTTGTGCGTGTCTATATATCCATATAAACATGACAATATTTAATGATTCTTAGGGATTCAGGATTATATGTGGAGATATGAAATTCACAAACTGATAATAGAGACACTTGTGAGGATGTGTCATTTACTTCTTTGGAATGCAGTGAGTCTCACGACTTTTAGAAGACTGAGGTTTTTTTTTTTAAATAGCGAATGGACACCATGAAGTTGTAAGACTATAACAGAGAGTACAAATTTTCTATTTAAAAGCTATTTCTGATATATTTTTTTTTTGGTGGCAGATGCCTGAGATAATTTTCAATTTATGATTGATCAAAATGAAATATTACTCTACAAGTTCACTATTTTGGCAAAGAACAATTTTAAACCAATTAAAATAATGCCTTAAAATAGTACTTTAGTAGAATTGCAAGTCCTGAATTGTATTAAATGTGACTAATCCGTGATGTTTTGTCACAGTTTTATTTCACTTATGAAATAAATATAAAAATCTCCACTGTCATTAGATAAATGCTTCAGATTTTGAATGTTATTAACTGTTGTTGATATATTGTTCTGGTTTTAAATATTAAAAACCTTTTGTAGAAAGCAGTCCCTTTAATTGTTCTGGGTTACTTTTTGGTGTGGTTAATAGTGGTTGTCAGTGGCCGTTTTCATTTTACAGGTTTTTCTAACTTTGTGTATATCATTTATGTACAGGCATTTACAGGTTTTTAGATTTGTAGACTTTTTCAAATTGTAAAAAAAAACACCAATCAATCTTCCTCAGTATAGATTATGAAAAATCAAATTATCACTGGGGAACAGCAAACTTTCCTTGGAAAGTGAGATGCTTTAGTCATTACTGAAGGCAGAATTAAAACTTTTTTAATGGAGTAAACCCTCACAACTTTAGCTGATGCAAATCTGTCTTGTTGACTTGGCATACATTGGCATACAGATATACAGCGCTAATGCCTCACTTTTGCTGCTGTAGTGTGAAATTGAAGTCTCTGGTCAGGTCACTCTGATATTGACAGGCACATGGACAGTAACAAATGTCAATTTCACTTTGCTTTTGTTGCTTGGGAAAGCTATGAGCACCAGCCAAGTCAGGCCCTGGAACTATTCCTGGAGGGGAAGATCCAAAAATAAAAACTTGTGGGAGGATATTGAATAGGAGAGATTATCTGAACTATAGAAGACTGTGTGGTGGACTAAGAAAGTCATTTCTCACTTCAAACATGGCTGTGCTGTACATTTATCAAATATCTATCAGTCAGAGACAGTTATGAAAGAAGGTGTTCTTACGAGGGTTCCCAGTCTCCCAATAGCTTTTTCATTTTTTACCTGTGCTTGTGTCTGTGAGGGGTTGGGAGATGGCTTCTGGGTTTCTCAAAAAGTTATCAGCTCTGGATTTTATTGATAAGGAGGCCCCTATATCTTTATATATGCTGCTATCTAACAAACTTAATCCTCTTAATAGTAGATGTTCACAGGCTTTTTTGCACACAAACTGGAAACAAAATTAATCCTTTGTAATCTCGCACCTTCAGTTATTTCAGTGTAAATCTGTGCATTGGCATCTTTATTTCAGATTAAGAGTGTCCCACCTCAATTTATATTAAGTAGATAAGACATTAGTTTGTCATTTTAAAACAGGGCACTCATACCTGGAAATAAAATTATTAAATCCTTTCTCTGTATAAATGCATTTATATGTATACTACGTATTTTGGTAAAGTGAGGGTATAACTTCATATCGGGGTAACCACAGAAAAAAGTGATATTTGTATAAGATATTTACACTTTTTTTTAAAGGGGATTGTGAAAATCAATTTAGGGAACATACAGTTAAAATACTTTCATATGTTTCACAGATGTCTCATTTTTCTTGTGAAGATGAAGCTCTGTTACAGTCTATGCTCAGACAATTACTTCAGAGTGTGAAGGAAAAAATCACAGGAGCACCATCAGTAGAATGTGCAGAAGAAATTCTTTTACATTTGGAAGAAACAGATGAAAATTTTCACAAGTAAAATATTTGTTGTTTTAATTTCATGTAGTCAGCTAAGTTCTGACAACTGTTATGTGCAGGGAAAATGTTTACAACTTAATATTGATTTCTATATAAGGAAAGTACTTTTAACTTCCCTATTGCCGATGAACTCTGGAAAATGTTATTTCAAAGATGTAAGAAACTATATTTTATTAGTTTTTAATTTTATTATTCTGTTGATGCATTCTTTCTGCTTTGGTTAAAACATTACCAATAGAGTAAATGCTTCTTCAGAGAAAATCTGTTGTCTTTGAATGTAGCACATTTATCAGAGTTAGTTAAATAGCTTTAGAGACAAACAGTTAAATAGCTAGGAAAAGATTCTAATTGAAGGATTCTAGAGGATATTTATAACTGCTGTTGGTTCCTTATAATGGTGCCTTATGTGGGTGACATATAAGCAAGATGGCTACAATATGACCTTTACATACACCTTTCATAGTTAGCCCTTAGCCAACTCTTTTTATATACTTGATAAGATAAACTCCAGTTTATAACAGAAATCCTATTACATTTTGAATAAAACTAAAAATCTTCTCTGTTACCTGAAACAGTTTTTGGGTGCTAATACTCACGTTTGCCCTCACATATTTACATGTGTACTATGGTCAAATTTTCCTGAGGCCATGCTCATATTTGCACTTCAGTTCCATTATACAAACACAATATTATAATGGTTATTGTCTAGGGACATAAAAGCAGGAGCCAGTGCTGGGGGCAGCCGGTTTAAAACACACGGTCTCCATGGTGCTGCCTGACCCTCTCCCCTGTGGTGCTGCCTATAATAGAGGCAGCAGTGGGGGCGGGGCAAGGGAGGCTGCTCTGCAGCAGCCCCTGTCTGTAAGGGAGCCCAGCTTGAGGTCTCATTTATCTTGGCTGTCCCTGCACCATCCCTATCTAGTGATGATGAGGAGCCGATTCAGATACATATGCTTAAGCACTCCTCACCTGAACCCCCCCAAAAGATACAGCAGTGACAGCCACCACAGTCGCTCTTGCCGCCAATTCCACTCAACTGGCTATACAGGGACCTTGGGCAGCCTACAGAATGCAACAGGCACAATAGCCACAGCAGCCAGCTGGGCCCCCCATCCACTCTAGCTCATGTGGTGACAAGGAGGATGTGGATATAAAGGACACCTGACTCGTTCCCACCTACACATATCTCTTCATTATCTCTGGATAATACAACTTCAGGGGATGATTTTAAATCATTTCAAGAACTCATTAAAAGAGTTGCAGTTACATTAGAGATCTCCGTCAGCTATGCCAGAGACCTAGCATAAGCTGACGAATATGCTGCATGCCTCTCTACGTGACAAACTTGCCATCCCCATGAATGAAGCTGTCATGGATCCAGCAAAAACCATCTGGGAGACGCCGGCCACCATATCTGCAAAAGCTCAGATCGGAAACACTATGTTGCTCCTAAAAGAGTAGACATTTTCCCATCTTATCCCAAACTCCCTGATGTGGTGGATGCTGTAAATCTGAGAGGCAAACAGCAGGCTACCCTCACTGTCCCTTCTTACAGGGACTGGAAGAGAATTAGACCTGGTGAGAGGATGGCATACTCATCAGCCAGTCTCCAGCTCAGAATTTCCAACTACATGGCACTTCTTGCCCAATACACAATATATTTGATTAGCTTATGTCTTTTATTGAATTTCTCCCTGATAACAAAAGAGAACAATTTAAGTCTAACATTAATGAGGGTGCACTAATCTCTTGAACACCATTACAGACTTGCACTAGACTCCGCAGACACCACAGCAAGATCGAGCACTTCTGTGGTCATCATGAGACGGGCCTCATGGCTCCAACTCTCCAGATTCCCTAGAGAAGTCCAGGCCACAGTTGAACACTTGCCTTTCGAAGGAACCAAGCTCTTCATTGAATCCACCAATGCCTCACTTCACATATGAAAGGACTCACGGACCACACTAAAGACACTTGGCATAAACATGCCTGTTACAAAAAAACAAAACAGGGAAGGTTGTTCACTCAAAGGTACAGGCCCGCACCTTTCAATCAGCAACCCAGGCACTATGACTACTGGTGCTGACCATGCCAAAGCAGGCACAGATAGGCCCCTGAGCAGACAACAGCTCAGCAGTCATTGATGTCACAACAAGCGTTTTGAAGCGGCAGTTGATGGTTTGACAGCCCAGGTTTCTCCATGGCAGCAATTCAAATCCTTTATCACATTTGGCAGTAGACCAGCATTCTATCCAGCATGGTGTACCATCACCACCAACAGGAAATCATCAAAACTGATTACTGCATCCCATTTATAGTTATCCCTCCCTCCCACGTCCCCCCTTGCCCGTCCCTCTTGAGGGACCCCTCTCGCAAACATGCTCGTACAAGAAGCAGAACATCTCTAACTGGGGGCTAGAGAAAAAGTACTTCCAGTGCACAGGGGCAAGGGGTTCTACTCCCAGTACTTCCTCACCACCAAGAAGATGGGAGGATGGAGGCCTATCCTAGACTAAGATAGACCCTCCACAAACTCAGCCTCTTTGTTTGATCCCAATGATTCAAGGTGGTAACCCTTGCACAATCATTCCTGCCTTGGAGAAGGGAGCTTGGCTATCTATCCCCAACCTTCAGGATGCCTATGTTCATAGCTTGCTACATCGATATCACGGATGCTTTCTGCGATTCATGATGAGGGACTTGCACTTCCAGTACAGAGTGCTACCCTTTGGACTCTCCACAGCCCCATGGGTCTTCTCAAAGGTCCTTGCAGTGGTGGTAGCCCACCTGCACAGAATGAGAATCACCATATTCCCATACTCAGACAATTGCCTGTTAAAAGGCCCCACAGCGTGCAACACAGAACAGGCAGTCAAAACCACCAGAGCCCTATTCAACTGCCAGGGGCTCAAGATAAACCTACCAAGTGTACACTAACTCTTACCCAGACTTTAGAATTTATAGGCGCATGTGACAGGGGGCCACCTCTCTCTGCTTGGCGGGACATGCCCCCCTGCACTCCGAGCGCGAGGCGGAGGATGTGTTTACTTGGCAGTCTCCAGCCACTGCGGGCTGGTCACGCATGCGCTCTAGCTTCCCCGTGATTGGGGGCCTTAGGACCCGCGGAGGTCCGCGCCGCAGGGAAGGGTCATCCGCCCACGATGGGGAAGGGGCCCGGGCGCCTCTGGGGGAGCGACCAGGGCGGGCTGAAGTCATCCCGGCGCCAGCCCACAGGATGGGAGGGGGCACA